GAATGAGGTTTCTGAGTGAAAGTATGAATGAACAGTTAGCAGTTGAAGTCGCATGAAGATTTGTTGAAGTTGAAGAATTTCTCCATTGACTTCAATGGTTAAAAATGTGATGTATTATGGGATGTATCTCTGGAATTATGAAAGTTATGAATGAGAAAAGTAATAGCCATTGATTCCCGACCGAGCTGAACGTTTTGATGTTTGAACGGAGTTTCTGCGATGTTCAATGCGGGAGGAGAAGCGCGGCAAAATAAGTCGGCGGAATAATAAACTTTTCGTGGGTAGAATAACAGTTAGTTTGAATGCTGTTAAGAGCATTCCCACTAAATAATAATAATAATAATTTTATTTTGGGGGGCGCCTTTCATAACACCCAAGGACAACTTACAGGGCATAGGGGCAATATAGGGAACAATTAAAACAGTGGATTTAGTGAAGTATCAGCCGGGGTAAGACAAGACAAACAACAGGAAATTGACTACAAAAGGACACAAAATGACACAGGGACGGGTACAGATTATAAAGAAAATGCCAGTTTGAACAGGTGGTTTTTGAGTTGGGTTTTGAATGTTGTTATGGAATCAGACTGTCGGATGTGTAGTGGCAGGGAGTTCCAGAGTCTGGGAGCCGAGCAGCTGAAAGCTGATGATGTTACTAGTTAAAGCGAATGCACCTTTTATTATTACATATTTGTAATATCAGGGCTAAAGCACTGAGTGTGTTTTCTTTTTCTCCGGTGCACTCTGATTGTTTTCAGTTATGCTTACCTGTGAAATATAAGGCTGCAAATGTACGTATGTTTGTAAATATGTATATGTTTACAAGAAAGTGTGTATGGATATGAACAGGGGTATGTAAGTGTGTGAATGTATGAATGTTTGTGAAATCATCCCTCGTCATTCGACCTATGACGGAATATGAAGTGTATATATATACAGTACATGTATATAACTCTAAATATTACTACTGAGATTTTTTACTTTTTTACTCTTTTGTACTTCAGTTTTATCTTATTTTCCTCTGCTATATGTAAAAATAAGAGTATATATTCGGAACAAAGTGGATCTGTTGTGTATATATATATAATAGAAATAAACAGACAAAAAAAAAAGTGAATGCACCGTTCTGCAGCTGAGAGAGACTTGTGGGGGACATCTAACTGGAGCTTTTGGATTTTTAGGTTGCAATCAATCCCAAGGGGTCCTGTGACTTGACTTGGCCTGGTCTCTCTTTCCTTATTTCTCTTTCTCTCAGCAGGCAGCAGGATCATGATGTAATCTTTTCTATGGACTACTTGGCAGAGTTTTGACTTGAAACATAATGGCAGTGTTTGTCAGTTGTTTTGTACCGTCAGAACACAGACGTTAAACACTCTAGAGCAGACTTCTTTAAGAAGGAATGTTCAGAAATCCAACTGAGTTATTGGCCCCTGTTCAGCAGTCTTTAGCAGTAGTGTTGTGTTCATACAGTGAACAGTACAGTTAGAAGGTTAGGGAGGTTGATAGGCTTCTCAATGCATGCATTTTGTTAAACCCTCTTTTTTGAAGTTATAAATCTCAGGTTATCCCTAAACCAAACTTCAATCAGGAGCCTTGTCTAGGTTTTAAAGAAGCCCCACTATGCTTTTGGGGGTTTTCCCTTTCCTGTAGTTGTTATATAGTTTCCTGTTAATGTAAATGGTCAGCAAAGGCTAAAAAAAAAAACATGTTATATTACATGCACTAAATACAAATACGATGAGCACAATATGACCCCGTTAACAAATGTTTGCAGCAATATACATTTTAGTTTGGAGATCTGGCTCTGCTGATGCCATGCTCTGATACACATTAGTAATTATTAAATAGTATTTTAGATCCCTTTCTACAATTATCCCTAACTCCTCAATTATCTGCTTGATTTCTCTTACTTTGTTTATGTTCGCACCATTTACACCAAAGCGAATTCCTCATAAACCTACATGGCAGGGTTAGGGTTAAACCTGAAACCTGAGGCTGACTTTCATTTAAATCAGTTCAAGTTTGAGAGACTGTCCCTGCTACCAAACTTTTATGAAAAATAGCAAGTACAATGTTAACATTTCACTGCAATTAAATTAAATGATAGTCCACTACCACGACCACTGTCACACCTCACTATTCATAGTTGTGTAAATAACGTGTGTTAGTTGAGATCCTTGGTAGCTAGTATGTTAGTATTCTGTGAACAAACAAACAACAATGTGTTGCTATTGAGTTCTACATCAGACAGCAATGACGGATCAAGTTGTGCAGCAGTGCAACAGAACGTATGGTGATTTAAAGTGCTTTTTTTCTAAAGATATGGCCAGGATTTGAGTCAAAACCAACACAAGTCACTATAGTGTCAAGAGAACGAAGAAGCAGAGCATTGAGGGCTTGTCAATCATATACAAGTTCTTATAGGCTGTTAATTAGATTAAATACATGTGACTGAGCCGCTGGCTCCTGATGGGAAATGTGTGAAGCCTCTGACCAGAACTTACACAGCGATATAACATTTTTGCAGAGATGTTTCAGGTCTTCAGTTCTTTAATAAACAACCTGTTTAGTAATCAACGAACAGCAATCTGAGACGTAAACAGACCCATGTCAGCTGATAAACTACACTTTTAACAGCATTAGCTATCTTAGCGTATGTGCACTAACAGGTATTATGTGCATTGCCTTGCTGTGTCCAGCACAGCTGGTCGGAGTCTTCACACATTTCCCAGAGTCAACCGGTCAGTCACTGTGAGCTCATCAAGTCACCCCCCCCCCGTGCTGTAATCATCGGAGGCAAACATCAGAAGCCCTTCAATCACTGCTCCTCTCTCCATTGTTCCTCTCCTCCCATCGCTGTTAGGCAGTGCTGAACGGGTACCAGTGTCTCTCCATCCTCTCCAGGGTCATTAATACATGTCAGCTCTGTACACACCAACTCCTCACTTCATTTATCCCAGCACGCCTTTCAATTTAATCAAAACTGCAGCAGCAGGACACACACACATACACACAAACACACTCATTTACTGATTAGTTGTAAAGACTGTAAGGGGTTCTTCTTAACTTGTGTTGTGTGATGTGGATATTTAATTTTGCCATCGTTACACTCAATGATTAATGGAGGTTATTTTTTATCGAGGCACATTTTACCATCAAGGCAAATATATTCCTCCATTTCCTTCCTCGGAGTACAAATACAAACTGCATTGTCGTTTGAGCTTGTGTTAATGTGACATGCTAAATAGATTGACATAAAACACACCTGTATAAACACTGCATCACTCCTAACATGGTGCAAATGTTCTGTTCATGAGCTCGGTTGAGTAAATTCAATATATTGCATAAGACAATTCTGAGGGCTACTCGTCTACAAAGGAGAGCACAAAGCTTGTGCTCAAGGGCATGGGTTTGTAAAATCAGAATCATATTTGAGCATTATTGTTTCTGAGTCTGCTTGCTCACTTTTCTCAAGGTGGTTTGGCGGTTTTCTGAGCACTTCAAATTCCATAGTTAAGGCTTTAAGAAGAAACAGCAATAGTATATTGCTCATTTATAAGAACTAATTAGTGTAAGACAAACGCTGGCGATACATCCAATCCCCTTACTGTTATATAGTATATTAACAGTATATGTCAATCTGCTTGGACCCTCATCACTGCAGCTACAATAATAACTTATCATTATCAAGTGTTATTTATTACTTGATTTCTACCCAGGATCTCTATTTTTTGGATTGTTGCTGCCACAAATGATTAAACTTACTGCCCGTTCTCCTCCCTGCAAGGTAGTCTCTTGGTGGTGGGGAGGATGAAACAACAGTTCTCTCATTTCTGGAACATTGGACTTAATCCAATAAACAACTTTTCTCAAAGCTCACAACCTTTAACATGATTGACAAGACCGTGTGGCAGTTGTTCTACTTCTTCCTGCTCTCATGTTGGACTGAGGGCACTATAGGATGGGCAGGTGTTAGTTCTTCCCCTTCTGTTGAATACGTTTGTTGTTTTTGACTGAAATCCAGGCCAGATCTTGTGGAATGGCACCTTTGATCAAGACACTATCTGATCTATATCCCAACTAAAATAGCAAAAGTCGCCCACAGATTCTAAGTGACTGAGAGACAGCAGAGAAACTAGACTTTTAAAAGCATCATGACTGAACACCACATAGCTGCAACCTCAAAAAGCACCCGACAACTGAACTCTTTGACCCAGGATATCATTCTGTTCTTTCTGTACACTTAGGGCCTGTGAAAACATGGCAACCTTTGGCGCTGATGGGGAGCTGGGCAGAGCCTTCCTCCCAGTAATTCAAAAAGAAAATGCTAAATGTAAAAAAAACAACAACATTTCCTCCAATTTCTAAAATGATGTCACCAACGCATTATCTGAAAAGTTTCAATATTTTTAACATGAAACGCTTGGAGCAGCAGCACAAGAAGGGTAGCACACTCTATGAAATACTTACAGGTAAAGAGGTATTAGGATTAGGCATGGGCGGTATCATTTTTTTCATACCGTCATACCTTGCTGACATCATACCGTGGTATACGGTATATGACGGTATCAGTCCCAATTTAAGGGGTAATTTCTCCCAAAAAAAAATGTTTTACTCACTATATCAACAGCCCCACCAAAAATATTTTCCACCAGCCGCCACTGACGGTATGACTTGGGTCGACTTGAGTGAGGTGGCGTTCGGCGGCAAATAGATGTTTCGAACGGTATATTATATGTTCGGTGTAAAATGCAGCCCGAGCCGGTAGACGCTCGCAAAGTGCCGCGACGTGCGCGCAAGTGCAAAACAAGGGCTGCATACATGACACATTGTGCAAATGGAACATTTTGAGATCGGATACAGGACGCGTTTGTAGATGTTCGACGTTGTTTCCATAGTGAGCTAAGTTAACAATATATCATCATACATAAACATTTTCCGGGAGTAAATACTTGACTTATTGAATAAAGTTTGCTATATTCACTAACTAGTTTGGCAATATTATTCCGTGCATGTGTTAAAAACCTTATTTCCATTTGATTCATTGGATTACTCGCGTGAATGTTTAGCACGTAAATGCTTTCGTTTTTAAAACCGTCCGACCTCGACTACAAAACCGAGTCGAAAAAGCGCAGTGTGTCTGATGAGGGTAGATTAAATAAATGTCAACACTCACGGTCATCGCCTCCGTTCTTAAATCGATTCCCAAAGAAGTGCATCTGTTGTTCGTCGGTTGGTCTGATATATGAGGTCACTGGCGACGAGTAAACCCAAAATAGTCCCAAACAGGCGCAGAGGCATTTTTGCTTTTTTACTAGGTTGTCCTGAGATTCTAGGGGGTGTGGGGGGGTGGGGAGTGGTGTTGGGTGGTGAGGGTATTGGGGGGTGTGGGGGCCGGCAAATTGCTGCGCCATCTTGCTCAGCTCAGTCATTGTGCTGAGCTCTGAGAGCGGGGAATAGACGGAGACTGCCGCGCGTCCCTGCCTCTGCTGGCGCGGGATGCTGTGCTATTACATACGCTAATGCTGCTCTCGTCTTGTCATAGTATACTTGTGGCGGATGTATCAGACATGAAACGCTTCTGTTGATTTGGCGCACAGATCTTTTGACGCGAGTATTGACGGTATTAAAATCATACGACGGTATTTCGAAATTACCCTGTATACCGTAATACCGTTGGAGTGGCATACCGCCCAAGCCTTAATTAGGATTAAGTCGTTTTTTTTCTCCCATTGAAATCTGTTATTGATAAGATAGCGTGTGTGAGGCTCAGAGAAGGAATCCTCTTTTTGGACATCATGTCACAATCAGGATACAAACATTGAAGGGCCTAAGTGTCAACCTGTATTTTAGGCTTTATGTTGCGGTTTTTATAGTTTTTCAACCGTATACCGTTGCTGACATTCATACCTGTGGTTATTACGGTATATGACGTTAATGGACTTGGGTCGACTTGAGCAGAATGAGGTGGCTTCGGCGACAAATAATGTTTTCGAACAGTAACATATTAGTATGGTTCGGTTGTTATAAATGCAGCCCGGCCGGTAGACGCGCGCAAAAGATGCGTGACATGGCGCAAGTGCAAAACAAAGGGCTGCATACATGAGCACATGTGTGCAAATGGCACATTTTTGAAGATCGGATACAGGACGTGTTGTAGATGTACATGTAATAGAATGATAACGCATCTGTGTTGGCGCACAGCCTACTTACTTTATATCTAACGATTGTTTTAACATTCGTAAAAGAAAGGAAATTCTGGTAGTAGGACTCTTAACCCTCCTTGTCGTGTTGGGGTCAAATCTGATCTGATTAACTACTTTCATCAATCATAAA